AAAAAGTTTAGTTTTCCTAAGTTTCTAACAGTTCCTTGTTTGAATTTCTGGTGTTCATAAGAGAAAATTTATATAATCTAAGAATGCTATAAAATACTGATAGTGATGATTTTATTATCTATAATATCTGTAAGGTAGGTGTAAAGATGAGGGGGTTGTTTTTTCTTAGTGTCGTAGGTAGGGAAAAGAACAAAATAAATGAGGCGGGGTCACTGTTAGTTTGTTTTATCTTCCTATTTGGGGGAAAAAGAGAAAATTGTACATGGAATAACAGTCTGAGAATAATCATAAACATTAAATATTCATAAAGAGGTAATAAAGTGATGGAAAGGCAAACACTTGCCACCTACTACCAACAGACTGATGCCCAGTCAGCCTCTGAGCAGTGGCTGCCTTGAAAGACAATCCCCCTTCTCCCCCCCCAGTTTTTTCCTCTGCCACTGCTTTTTGTTGCTGAGCATAATGTTATAGGTATGGAATATCCCTTTGGCTGGTTCAGGCCGGCTGTCTTTGGCTGTGTCCCCTCCCAACTCCTTGCCCATCCCCCTCTACTTGCCTGGAGGGCAGAAGGGCGGGGGGGGGGAACGCTTGATGCTGTGCAAGCACAGTTCAGCAATAGCCAAAGCATCAGTGTGTTATGAGCACTATTTTAGCCACCGATCCGAAACATAGCACCATACAGGCTGCTATGAAAAAAACAACTTCATATGAACTTAGCATTTACCTATTGGGAGAAAGTACTGGAATAGTTCATTCCAAGTGTTTTTTTGGTTTTTTTTTTTTGCACTTGAATAAAATCAAATAACACCAAAATGATAATCTGAGTATTTATTTTCTGGAAAGCAGACAGTAATTCAGGCAGTTTATTTGGAAGATTGGCAGAAGGAATGCCTAAAATGAATTACACTAATAATATTACATCAAAATCCTACCTACAGGAATATCTTAGTATGTTTTTAGATAAAGTTCTTCTGTGGTTCTTTAAGTTCTTTAATATTAATTTCCATCTTTCTGGGCGAGCCCAGCAGTTAAACTGATCTTCGTGATTATAAGGGCATTAAAAGAGCCAAGAAGACTGGACCTTCCTCTGATTAATCTTTTCAATCCTAATAACTTTTTGACCAAGTTATGGTACCTCTGAAAACCCTTGAATTTTTCTCTATAACAGCATAGTTCTAACTCAATGAAACAAGAAACTCTTCTTATTTCAACCCCTCTTTGAACTGGATGGGGAATTATTGATGAAGAAAACGTACTGGGCAGTGATTCTTTGAATGCGGAGAGCCTCATTAAGCACATCATAGTGCACATCTTACAATTTTCTTTATTTTACTATTCAGTCTTATTTCACACCAGTCATTTCACACTTCAGGAAGTTACTTTCTGGAAGATTACTGCATTTATCAAGCAATTAAGGTCACAGTCCCCCTATTTCAGCTTTATATCTTATAACACCATTTGTGGCTTATGCTCCAGAATGTAGTGTCTGTCTTCTCATATTGAATAATGAAATTTTACCGAAACTAGAGTGCTCCTGCCTGTCCAGACTCTGCCTGCATTCAACCTGTTGGTCTCTGGTAGATGGGTAGCTCACCGTTGAAGAACTAAAGAGTGAGGGCTTAGAAGCATCACGCAGAAAAGGGGAAGCCCTTATGGACATAGAAGGGTCTATTGTTAGTTTACTTCTGAGACTCTGGCAGTTTAAACTGGCAATACAAATTGACTTCCCACTGCTGAAAATAACAAAGAAATTATGATAGGTACCAAAGATTAGTGAACAAATTAATTTCTGTGCTTCAGTTTCCTTTCAGTAACATAAAAACAGTATCACATAAGAACATATATCACAGCTATAACGCCACCGAAGGTATTTTGCAAATTAATTAATACTTGTGAAGAACTGTGTAACTTCAGTAATAAACACTTACGAGAAAAGAAGCCAAGAGACAAACTGACAGTGCTGTCTTCAAAGCAGGGTTTTAATAAAGCACAAAAAGATGCAGAGCAAATAAATTAATGAGGCAAAAGCAAAATAGTGGGTAGACACTGATTAAGAGTAGAGTCAACCTAGTGTGGAATTAGCTGGGATTCAGGAAGGTAAATGTTATGTATAATTATGGACTTTGTCATACACACACAAGCAAGATGGAACAGCTGGAATTTGCCTAGGCAGCCTTAATTTCAGCATTTCCAGTTTTCGGGAAGTTTGACTTCGCATTTTTTTTACTGTTCTTTTTTTTCCCCCCCAGTTTTATTGCGAACATTATTTTGTGCCTGGCAGTTACAAACATCGCACAGAAGCAGAGAAAACAACATATTGAATTTGCCTTTTCAGTTAGAAAATGTGTTTGTGTCCAAATCAATACATCGGTACCTCATTCCTGTTGAGTATTTATTCAGTGCCAAAATATAACATGGTTGTTGTCTTTTCTCAGGTTATTCTTTCGCATTATGATTTTATATGCTATTACTATAGCATATATAGAAAAATAGGATTGCTGAAATTTAGAATCAATGGGTATTGATGCAGTTTGCACATTCAAAAGCAAAGTCTAATTTCTTTATCTTACTTCCTTCTCAAAAATAGACACCACTGTCTCATATTGTACTTTTTGCTAGCAAGCCTACAAATGCCTGAGGTTTTATGTGCGAAATGATTTGTATAGACATCTCATATCTTGATTTAAGAAAAAAATATTTTAGAATATAGCATCACTTCTTTAAGAAGCATTATCTGATAATTCAGCTGTTATAGTGTACTGGTTTTGGCTGGGATTGAGTTAGTTTTCTTCATAGTAGCTGGTGTGGGGCTGTGTTTTGGATTTGTGCTGGAAACAATGTTGATAACACAGGGATGTTTTAGTTATTGCTGAGCAGTGCTTAAACAGCGTCAAGGTCTTTTCAGCTCTTCAGACCGCCCCACCAAGGAGTAGGCTGGGGGGGGACAAGAAGCTGGGGGTGAGGGGACAGCTGGGACAGCTGACCCCAACTGACCAAAGGGATATTCCATGCCATATGGTGTCATGCTCAGCAATAAAAGCTGAGGGAAGAAGAAGAAGGAAGGGGGCGAATGTTCACAGTGGTGGCATTTGTCTTCTCCAGTAACCGTTAGGGGTGATGGAGCCCTGATTTCCTGGAGATGGCTGAACTGCCTGCCGGTGGGAATCGGTGAATGAATTCCTTGTTCTGCTTTGCTTGTATACACAGCTTTTGCTTTACTTATTAAACTGTCTTTATCTCAACCCATGAGTTTTTTTCACTTTTACCATTCCTATTCTCTCCTCTATCCTACTGGGAGGGATGGAGCAAGTGGCTGTGTGGAGCTTAGTTGCTGGCCGGCATGAAGCCGTGACATGTAGTTTGAATACAAATAGCGCTTTTTCTAACAAAAAGGCAGTGCTTGGCTTTATGTAATCAGTTACAAGTTTTGCTAAACTTTATATGGACTATTACAGAGTCTGTAAATTTCTCTTGGTGCTTTATTACTTTAATAAGTATATCCTATATTATAGATAACCTTGGCAGTAGTTTTTGTTATTCCATATTTTCTCTGCTTTGGAAAGAAGTTTATATTTGTTTTCTGACTCTGGTAGTATCTGGTTTTGTAGTCATAGTCATCTAGGCTTCTAGTCCTATACCTGACATGTAAAGGCATGATTCCCAACAGTATGTTCTCTGCAAATCTGTCATTGTGTGCAAAGCTATCTATCGCTATATCCTTATTGTGTCTGGGAAATAGCAGCTGAATTAAGTTGTGTAAAATGTAACTCTTTTTGTTGTCTTAAAGAATTAACATTTTCATAGTCTAGCTTCAGATGTGGATGCAGTGGTGTCAATCAAATATCTGCTATACTGGCATCATTTTTTGGTTTAGAAAGGGAATAGCTATAGTGGTATAGTGGCTGTGCTATCTTTGGATAAGTATAATGTTTAATTTGGTGTCCTCTTCCACCTTTAGCTATAGCAGTTGGGGACACTGTTGTCCAGCTGTTTATGGCTGCCTGGCAAGTCAGGGTTGCTTGTTTCACAATTCAGCCAACAGAGCAGAAATGCAAGTTCTCACTGTTCTGCTACTTCAAAACATTTAATCAGCAGCTAGGTTAAATTTGCTAATTTTGCGCTTAAGTGGATCAAGTGGAATTCCACTGGCTGTACAGTGAAAATTATCTTCTGTCAGGAATATAGTAACAGGCATCCAGGGATAAAAAGTCTGCAAAATGATCCTGTCTCTTAAGTATTGAGCAGGTTTCATTGTTTTTCCTGTTAGAATACAGCTGAAGCCTTATTATGCCACTTTTCTATGCTTATATTTTATTGAACATTGAATCATTTGGTTTGCTTGTTTCATCCAGATTTTTACTGTGCCCCCTTTCCCATTTCTATTCAGGTAAATTAAAACAAACAAACAAAAATAACCTTCAGTGTTTTTGAAGTTCTTCTCTTCATCAGCAACATGCTCTTCGTAGTGATGAGCAACTACTTACTAATAAAAAAAATGTTTTTCTGTCTTCCTAGAGGATATTCTCCTATGTATTTAATTGTTAGGAAAAGCAAAACCAGTTGACTCGACACAACAATGATACAATATTTTTTTCTAATATTTCATTACATAAAAATAATAAATTTCTTTACCACACGTTATATATATATTTAGAGATAGTTAACTAATAGGTTTACTTAGTAGTTGGAATTCAATACCTAACTTCACCTTTACAGTAAAGGAATACCTGTGATCTACATTTGTACCCTTGAATTAGGTGCAGCCAAGGAATAATGTATGCAGTTCACCATCAGGCTGTACAGTTAAATACCTCAATCGTAGGTGAAGTTTGCCTATAAATTCTCCCATCTAGCTCCTGTCCAAGATCCTCAGGAGAGCTGAGAACAGGGGGGCAGCACTCATTATTTTTAGGTATTAGGCCAGCTACTGTGTTCTTTTTAGTTTGTTCTGGATAAGGTTATTTCCTAAAGTGAATATATATATATATTATTGATTGTAGGATGGAATGGGAAATTTGAGAGTCACTAAAAAAGGAATACGACTTGAAGGAATATCTGAATTTCTACTTCCACTATACGTGAAAGAAATCCATTCCCGAAAGGTAGGTGTTTTTCATCTTTTTTTTTTTCTTAATTTACAGCTACTATAAATGAATCTCTTCAGTCTCAAACTACAAAGTTTAATTCTTACACCTCCTCAATTAGCAATCAGAAGAGGTTTGCTTTGAGAATATCTTAACAGTGAAAGCTTCCTTCATGTCAAAAATTATTTTTCTTTTTTTTCTGAAACCTTGCTTGCCTCTTAAAAGAAATGTCTTATCTTAAAGAAAGGAGATTCAAAGCATGTATATTTTACACTTCAAATGACCTCAGCACTGGGAATGGAACATTTGACTCTTCCTTTAGTGTGGACTCCAGAAAAATGAGATTGGTGATATGTGCAAAATGTAGTGAAATAAGGAACAGTTTGGTGTATCCTTAAGTTCTTTCTGGTAGTAGTTAGTGTGATATCTTTTGCTTGCTTCCTTCCTTTTTTTTTTTTTTTTTTTTTTTTTTTTTCCCCTCATTAGGTACAGGGAATCTTGCTGAACTGCATAATGACTCTACAATTTAATTTTTCAAAGCAAACTATTTTAAATGTTGCTTAAATGTAATTGTTTTATCATATAGCAGCAGGTTGTTACAGAGGAAAAACAAAAATCAAGATTCTGTATTTAGAAATTCAGTATAGCTCATTTTAACTCACTCGATTCAGTCACACTGTTTATATTAACATTGTCAATGAGTTAAAAAAATATTTTGACATACTGGAAATCTCAAGTTCTTTTTATCATGCAAGCAATGACCTGTGATGAGAGAATAATGTTACAATGGTTTTCAGTCAATCATCTGGGAAGAATTTTAATATGCATACTGCATATTGACAGGAACGAAAAGTATATTTACCCTAAATGACTTTGTGGAAAATTCTGTCTTTTTTAATCTGTCTTCTATGCATATAAAAAAAGTCTCAAGTACATTCATAAATGATATCATGACAGTTTCCCATTTCTCTTAATTAGTCCACTTTTATGTTAATAGATGTGTGAGGTAGTCTCTTTGTGCTCTCTCTGTAAAACTGAGAGCTTGCAATGTTTAACAGAGTAACAATATTGTCCCAGCTAATGAACAATTCTATAATATTTAAGTAACAGTACATTCCCCAACAATGTTGAATTTTGATCACTTTATTGAATAGATATTATTTCAGTTTTTCAACTCACCATACATACAATTTCTTACAAAAACTTGTTCATAATGTTTCCAATGTACCTAAAAATACTAATAACTAAGATAAATCTGTAATTAAAAATTTGGTGATGAATTAGTTCTAAATAAATGCAAATATCATAGCTTTGATATCAATCAGAATTTGGGGGGGTGGAGCGGGTGGAACAACGAAATAGTTAATGCGTAAATACATGAATAACCATTTAAATACTAAACACTGTTACCAGGAGTAAATCAGTAAGACTAGATTCTGCCTTCTAAAATTGGAAAGGCATCTACAAAATGGAACTTTGGCAGTGTTTTTTTTCCTATACCACCTTGACATGGAAGGGTGTGAGCATCTCTAAAGTAGTTTCTGTAATCTTCTAATATTTTCTTTACAATTATGAAACTCTAGAATTCATTAAATTAACTAGAATACTGTCTCTTCTCTGTACCTAAATAGGAAAAATATTGTAAGGGTTCTGTTAAACCTTAATATCTAGTACAACAAATCTTTTTAAAAACATGCCTAAATCATGAACTTCTTTAGTAGGAATATTCTAATATTTAGACTTTTTGAAGTTGGTGTAAAATGTCCAGGCTGTATAATCTTTCATGGACCATGCTTTTTCTTAGAGGTTGTAGAACATTAGTCATAGCTTGTGCATTTTTCCCAGTTCCTTTCTGCGGGGGGATGGTGTCTATTATTGTTCCATGTCCTATTACTGCATGTGAGAGTTATGATTTGGGATATTTGCTTGCACCGGGCTTTGTATTGTGGAACATTGGTTCTGTTAAAGTAAACATGGAAACTTTTGTTGTAAGTCAGAGTAATGAGAGATTCAAGTATGATCCTAATCTCACTCAGAGCTGTAACCAATCTGAGAAAAAAATGCACACAAATGTAAATACTGTAAAGGAAGAGGGATGCAAAGTCTACCAGTAGCCTAACACAATGTCACACTAGTCCTGTGAGGCTCATGGAAAACTCTTAGGCCTATCAGTAAGTGTCCTCAAACCAGCAGAAGGAAAGAGATAGGGTTGATCATTAGCTGGACAAAGTATTTAAACTAAAAGATTTTTTGTCTTGCAGGTTTACTTATATCTATCAACGTTAAAATACTGGTTACCTAGCTAAAAATGTGGTATGTACATAGACTTCTCATCTTGCAGTGCTTATGACCTAGGCCTACATTCCAGTCTTTTGCCAACTTGCTCAGTAAGTTGTGCTAAAGTTTCAGTAACTTTTGGTGTATGCAAAAGTTAATGTCATGAGGGAATGATGAAAAAAAAACCCTCTGGAGCTGTGCTAAGCTTTACCGTAGGTATTTGTGATGTCTCTGCATGGTGCTTGCCTAGGTGGGTGACTTTAGCTGTTTTGTCACCTACAGAATTGACCTTGGTGTTGTAGAAACCTGAGTGAGGCAGGTAAATCTGAGTGAGCCAGGTTTTCTGAGCTCTCACTATAGTCAGTAGAGACCTAGTCAATACAGACAGTGGATTCTGAAGAGCTATCCTGCTCACCAGCCCTTAGTGTTTACTTTGGGTGATACAGAGAGTGCTTTTTCCCACCTTTTCCATGGAAGCAGTAATGATTTAAGTTTGATGCATACGGGAGTTAAAATATACTGTGGAGTCAAAAACTCATTTGAAGCTGATGCCTTTGCAGTCTTTTACATGGTTATGTTATTTATTGGGGAAGGACTTTTTACTAGGGCATGTAGTGATAGGACGAGGGGTAATGGCTTTAAACTGGAAGAGGGCAGGTTTAGATTAAATATTAAGAAGAAGTTTTTCATTTTAAGGGTGGTAAGGCACTGGCACAGGTTGCCCAGAGAGGTTGTTGAGGCCCCATCCCTGGAGGTGTTCAAGGCTAGGCTGGACGTGGCCTTGGGCAACCTGGTCTAGTGGGAGGTGTCTCTGCCCATGGCAGGGGGGTTGGAACTAGATGATCTTCAAGGTCCTTTCCAACCTAAACCATTCTATGATTTATTTTCGGAAAGGAGAGTTTGCTCTTTAAGCAAATTTAATCATTCCTCCCTAAAAGAACACAGACATTAAAGGGACAATGTGTGATTAATGTACAGATGACTTGTAACATATTCAATAATAACTTTGCGGAACGGGTGTATTTCCTCTGCACTGGTGATCATGGTTTGTAGAGTGGCCCCTGGGGAACCTCTAAGTAGGGATCTCAGCCCTGCAGGTCAAGGCAACACTGCTTTCCTGTTACTCAGCTTAAAGCAGAGTTAGGTGGGAAGACCAATGCTATTAGCAGTGGGGTACAGCAGCAGGTGTGCTAGATTATGGCAAAGAGGCATGAGTGGAGTTCTTACACATATGCTGGAGCTATCTTTTAGTTAGATCTGCAGTTGATAAAACATGTTTGTTGATAGCACAGGGTTCACCTCTGATTCTGATAGTGAACTACTTCTGATAAGAGTCCAGGGCAGTCTGTTGAGTAGCTGAACTGAGCTCTAAGCTGCTGCAATTTAAATGTGAAGGGTGGCTAGGGTAAAGTTCACATATGCTTACGGATGCTGAAATCACCACTTTTGCCTGCAGCATGCCTGGATCCCCAAAAAAAGATCATTTATGCAGGGTAAAGTGCAAACCTTAAACTGCCTTTGTCGTAAGAGGTGTATTGAACGTTGTACAGGTGGAAAAATTGCCTTTTATCTTGTGATTGCTTCATTAAACCCTTGAATATTTGAAGTAAATGCTAAAATGCTTTGAGTTAAGTCAGTTGGGGAAGAAATATACATTAATTCTTGAAAACAAACTAAAACTTCTACTGATATTTTCTCTTGCCAGTATACAATTTTCTACCAAAACGTAGTAATGGAAAATCCAGATCTTGCGTAAACTGAATATTCATTCTTGTTTTGTCTGTAGAAGTGAAAATAAGAAGGATGCTCAGAGGGTTCCATTTCCCTAACCTTTCTCCTCTTGCTTTGCTTTCTACGTTCAGTTAGTGGTGTCTGCAGAACCATGGGTTCCTAAACAAAATTTCATGTTTACACAAAAAAGATAACTCCGTATTTTCATCAAATGACTTAACTGCATGTCAGAACTCAAACTGATACATTAGAACCTGAGTTGATAAGGACTCGTTTGCTCCTGAACTGTCATCTTTATATCCCTGAAACAAGGGTACGCATCATCTATGAACTGAATTTTGCTAAACATTTCATTTTGACTATTGTTGGTCTAGTTGTGTACTTTTGATTAAATTACTAGTCTGAAGCCAGTAAGTTTAATCTAGACAATGTTGTATCTCCCATGTTTATATTGCTTGCATTTATACGATGCGAAGAAACTACACAAGCTACATTCTTTGTAGTGTGTCATTAATGAGACGTATGAAATCAAATAACACATAATGCAATAATCCGAATTATTAAAGTATTTCATTTCTTCTGAATTAAATTTCTTTATAATCATTCTACTCCATCCATACTACTGAATTTGTGAATGGAAACAATTGTTTCCATTGCAGATAAACTAAGTAACTCATTGTCCCTTAAACTAGGGGGGATTGCTTTGGTTTTTTTCAGTGCAGTTAACAAGGTTAAAAGTGTATTCTCGAAACTTAGGGAGCATGTGTTTTCAATAGTTATCCTTACAGAACACGGAATGTAATGATTTAGTTAAAAGTCATTAGAAAAGGCTCTAGAAAACAAGAAGCACTGAATATACGTAAACTTCTAACTGAACGCAGGGAACTGAAAACTTTCTATATATTGTATTTTTAAATATGTGATTGTATGAGAACTAAGAAATTGTAGGCAGGTTTCAAAACAGAACTTCTTTCAGTTGTTCCTTCTCTCCATTTTTTTGCTTTGGAGAC